TGTAGGACATCATACATTAAGAAAGCAAAGTCATTAAGAAGACAGGAAAGAAAGATAAAACTAAAATGGATATCAGAAGAGACTCCGAAACTTGCTTTAAAACACAGAATAGCTCAAGAAAACAGAAGAAATGATGATGTAAAGAGCTGGACAGAAGATTTCAAAGGGTGGCTCAGGAAGATAAAGTATCATAATGAAATGTGCAAGGACCTGGAGTTAGAAAAAAGAACATATTCATCATCTCTAAAGGTGAAAGAACTAAAGAAAATATTCAAGCCTCGAGTTGCAATTTTGAAGGATTCTGTGGGCAAAATATTGAACAAAAAAGAAAGCATCAAGGGAAGATGGAAGGAAGAGAGAGAATATTCCTATACTAAAAAGAATTGATTGACATTCAACCATTTCAAGAGGTAGTACATGATCAAGAACTGATGATACTGAAGGAAGAAGTCCAAGCTGCACTGAAGGCATTGGTAAGAAACAAGACTCCATAACATGATAGAATACCAATTGAGATGTTTCAACATATGAATGCAGGGCTGGAAGTACTCACTCATCTATGCCAAGAAATTTGGAAGATGCTAACTGGTCAACCAACTGGAATAGATCCATATCTGTGCCCACTACAAACAAATCTCCCCTGGAAGAAGTGCAACCAGAACCAAGAATGGCCAGACGTCATCTCTCCTACTGTGGTTCATGTTGTCAGAAGGATCCATTCCCTGGAGGAGGATATAATGCTTGGCAAAGCGGAGGGTCAATGAAAAAGGAGAAGGCCTTCAACAAGATGGATTGACACAGTGGCTGCAACGATGGGCTCAGGTATAGCAAGGATCATGAGCCTGGCACAGGACCGGGCAGTGTTTCGTTCTGCTGTGCATAGGGTCGCTGAGTCGGAGATGACTTGACGGCACCTAACAACAACAACAAACAAAGGTGATCCAACAGAATGAGGAAATTGTCCAACAGTATCATTAATTTCACAGCCAAGTAAAATTTTGCTGAAGATAATTTTAACACAATTGCAGCAGTACATTGACAGGATACTGCCAGAAATTCAAGCTAAATTCAGATGACATGGAATGAAGGATATCATTGCTGATGTCAGATGGATCTTGGCTGAAAGCAAAGAATATTAGAAAGATGTTTACCTGTGCTTTATTGACCATGCAAAGGCATTTGACTGTGTGGATCATAACAAATTATGGATATTGTGAAGAACGGGAATTCCAGAACACTTCATTGTGCTCATGTGGAACCTATACATAGACCAAGAGGCAGTCATTTGAACAGAACAGTGTGGTTTAAAATCAGGAAAGATGTGTGTCTGGGTTATATCTTTTCACCATACTTCTTCAATCTGTATGCTGAGCAAATAATCTGAGAAGCTGGATTCAATGAAGAACGCAGCATCAGGATTAGAGGAAGACTCCTCACCTGCAGATGACACCACCTTTCCTGCTGAATGTGAAGACTTGGAAGTTGTTACTGATGAAGATCAAAGACTACAGCCTTCACTATGGTTTATACCTCAATATAAAGAAAACAAAAATCCTCACAACTGGACCAATAGACAACATCAGAGAAAAGACTGACGTTGTCAAGGATTTAATTTTACTTGGACCCAAAAACACCACCCATGGAAGCAGCAGTCAAGTAATCATACAATTTATTATTGCATTGGACAAATCTGCTGCAAAGACCTCTTTAAAGTATTAAAGAGCAAAAGTGTCATATTGAGCATAATGGTGCACCTGACCCAAGCCATGGTATTTTCAATTGCCTCGTATGCATGTGAAACCTGGACAATGAATAAGTTAGACTGAATTGATGCCTTTGAATTATGATGTTGGTGAAGAATATTGACTGTACCATGGACTGCAAGAATGAACAAATCTTTCTTGGAAGAAGTACAGCCAGAATCCTCCTTAGAAGCGAGGATGGTGTGACTTCCCATGTACTTTGAACATGTTATCAGAAGGGATCAGTCCATGGAGAAGGATACAATGCTTGGTAGAGCGTCAGTGAAAAAGAGGAAGACCCTCAATGAGATAGATTGACAACTGGACTGACTCAAACATGGCAACAAGTGTGAACATGGAGCGGGAGTGGACACTGTTTTGTTCCATTGTACAGAGGGTTCGGAGTTGGCACCAATTCAATGGGACCTAACAACTGATAACCTGCTGCTGTTGTAGCCAGGTGAAGTATACTCAAAGATGGTTGGTGGGGAGTGAGGAGGATGAGCCTAGATTGGTGCTTGTAGAGACTGAGGTGTTGGTGGACTATCCAGAAAGGGCAGTGGGTTCAAGGCCCGAGAGAACCAGCAATGCCCTAGGACCTAAGTGCTGGACTTCAGAGAAATATCATACACCACTGCAGACAAGATGATCTCCACCCCTGGGGGATAAACATATAGATTTCTTTTTAATCACATCTCACATAATTGTTTTTTGAGTATCTTTTATATTTTTAAGTTTTAGAACCAGTTGTTTTACTTTACAGCTGCACAGAACACTGGAAGAATATGCCAAGTTAACCTCACACATTCTGTTTTCTTGCTTTATTCACACATTGTGCATTTCACCAGAATTTCTTTCTACATCTGCAGCCAACAGAAATTGGTGCAAACACACACAAAAATAATTTCAGCAAAATGGTAACTTCAAAATCAGCACAAGTATTCTTAGCAAATATGGTCAAGGCTTTAGTATCTCTGCCTTCCTAAGCTGATTATAAAGAAATAGCTTTTCTACACGAGAATAATTCAACCAGATTTACAAAGCCTTTCCCAAGTCAATAAATATTGACTTATCATTTTAATCTTAATTTTCTAACAGAAGCTAAAATATCTCCCTCTGGGTTTGGGGGATCAGTGCTGGCATCTGACATAAGGCCTTTCAGTCTTGGGACAAGGCTGTTTTTAATCTGGAAGATGACCTTGAGCAAGTCTCCTTGGACATTAGCTTCCTCCTAGTAAACAGGAATCAGACAACCAGAGGTTCTCAAACTGGACATCATTGTTACCAACAGCAAATGCTCATCAAACACTACGTGCTAGGTACTATATACTGTAGGTATATAATCCCATTTTACAGATGCAAAACTGAGGCAGAGGGAGGATAAGTAACTTACCCATGTACATATACCACCTCACCAACACGTGAGGTTGGAATCAGCAGGTGTGGGCAGGGCCATGGGATCTACACTCCTATTGAGTGCCCTGTTGGGGATCCAAGTGTAATCTAAGTGGCTTAGAACCCACTGTGAGACATCGTTCCAGCTATCAGAAGACCTGCTCTGTTCTGAGAGGAAATGGAAGGAAGCAAACAGGAGAATCCAGAGCCTCACCAGGGCAGTCTTCAGGAGGGAGGCTGTTGCCACTCCCTGAGGGTCAAAGTGGTAAGGTGCATTAAGCTGGGCAGGAGGAACAGCCAGAAAGGGCTGTGCCAGTTTGAAACTCAAAGGCTTGTCTCTTGCTGCACCAGGCTGCCACCTGCTGGTTATAGCTGGCTATCAAAGCTGGATAGAACACCCCTTGTCCATTCCTTCACCAAAGGTTAAGGGACCAAGTGACTATACTGTACCCTGCAGTGTGGCTTCAGTGGCGACCGAGTGGAGACAGAGCTCAGTGCAGAGAGACAGACAAAGACAAGGCAAGCTTAACCAGAACAGGTAGGGACAAAGGTCAGTCTGTATGGGAGGGCAGTGTGTCTGGGGTTAGCGGGGAGAAATGAGTCGGAGGAGAAATGAGTGGGGAGAAATGAAGTAGGCCAGTTTCATTCATCTCTTTTCATTAGAGATTGGAAAACCCAGCAATTAATCAGATTCTGTGCTGGCCTGGCCTCTCAGCACATTAAAACACTAGATTTCTCTTACTCCAGGGAGGTGTTTTTCCAGGTAGTCATAGCCACACTCCCAGATGGAAGCACCAAGATCACTTTTCAACCAAACTCTAAGCAGAGTCCCAGGGTATCGCCTTCCATTTCCCAAGCCCTGGCTCTGAGTGTGTTCCATCAAGAGAGAAACGGTCACTTCCAATCCCATTAAACCAACAGGAATCATGGGAACAGTCGCGTCCTGGCAAAACAAACACTAGTGACCATGGGTTGTGGGTGCCACATCACTTTATTTTTATTGTTGTTGCTGTGTTCTGTTACCCAAGTTCAATCTCCCACCTGCCTGGATACTGTGTGGTCTCTTCTCTGAAGATGGGCAGGAGGTGCTGGGGAGAGGCCAGGGTCTCCCACAGCCAGACAGGCTGCAGGAGACTGCGGAGTGCACGGTAGATGGAACAGGCACCAGTAAGGAGCTTCTGGGTCCTCTCCCCTCAAACAGGACCTGAAACTCCTCCTTCCAGCCTTCCCCCAGACCACATGCCCAGCCAGGGCAGGAAGCAGGCCAGTCCCTTGATATTCCACCTCTGACCTTCCCTTAGAGGCCATCCTTGGTTCTTCTGATATATTTCTGCTTCTGCTCCGAGCATCAAAAGCCACTGACCTGCCCCACATTCAGTTCTCATGTCCCTTTGGGAAATATCTTTGAGTAAGGAGAGTGTCAACCTCCATAAGGAACTAAGGACATATATTCTACCCAACAGGCTGCACGGCACACTATAATATTCCTTTTGAAAAGCAGAAAGCACCTTCAGCTAACCAATCCATCTTCCCTCCCCCAACACCCATAGCTGCCAAGACTAGCAAGGGGGCCCAGCCATCCCACTGAAATCAAAACAAAAACTATAAGCAAAATAAAAATGTAAGTGGTTTAAAATTAAAATTAAACCAACTAAAGAGAACATTCCTGATCTAGCAGCTCTCTACAAGAGACCAGGTGGCTGATTTCTGGCGTACTCTTCCCTAAAGCCAGGAAACACAAAACACCTTGGATCCAGGGTAGGCACTGTGGGAGCCAGAGTGAAGGGCATCCTGGCAGAGCCAAGAGGCACCTCAGGTCCTGCCCCTCCTTCCTCCCAGTCTCTGTGAAGCCCCTCCAGCCCATCAGCCATCAACCAGAGTGAGGCCATCGTAGAGAGCCCGCTTCCACATGTAGTAGGTGGAACGGGCAGTGAGGGGGAAGAGCGCACTGAACTCCTTATAGGAGGGGAAGCTCTTGGACTGGAAGCGCTTTTGCAAGAACAGCTTGGCCTGGGCCTTGAACTTGGTGGTAGCAATCATGTCCATCACCAGCACCTGGCTGTCCCTGTCACCTGCTGTCCCTGTCACAGGGTGGCTTGATGGGGAGCCACCCTGGGGTGGGCTCTGGGCCATGGCCCCCACTTGCAGGGCCCCATCCTGGGAAGGCCCTTCTTGCACCTCCCCCGAAGCCTCTCCTGGAGAAGCCGCCACCTGTGGGGCCCCCGTGGGCGGGGCCCTTGTTCCTGCTACACTCCCGCCAGCTTCCTTCTCTGGCTTCCCCTCAGCCTTATGTGCCCCTCCTTTGCCCAAGGCAGAGGCCTCCCTCTGGAGTTTGGACAGGTTTCTAGGCCAGCCCTGGGCAAGACTCTTCCAAACCCAAAAGGTGGATGGTGACAGGTTGGGGTAGCGCAGGCGGAAGCGGCAGAAAGGGAGGTGCCCGCTTAGCACCTGCTTGCGGGCAGCCTTACGCACACGCCTCTGCCAGCGGGACAGGGGCACCCTCGGGGGGAGGAGCTCCCGGGTCACAGGGGCGCCCCCATCCGTTGCTTTCCCTTTTCCCTCTCCCATCTCACCCTTCCAGGGGGGCAAAGACTCTTCCTCAATGGGTGCTGCTTGGGGAGCCCCAGCTGCTGTGAGGGCCGGTGCCGGCTTGAAGTTGGGGTTCCTTCGGAGGGCCTTTCGGCGCCAGTTATAATAGGTGGACCGGGAGATGCCAGGGAACCTGCGCTTGAAACAGCGATAGGGGACCAGTGTGTTCAGGGAAATGGAGTACTCCAAGTACAACTTGGCCCGTTGCATTAGGGCCACTCCCGGGCTTGATGCTGGCGGGGGGCACCCCAGCACCTTGGCACTCTGCTCCTTCGGCAGCTTCTCCAGCTCCCCCCTTGCCACAGCTTCCCTGGAGGCCAGGGCCTGGCAAGGACCTGAGCCCAGCAGCTCATTCTTCCAAGCATAGTAGGTAGAGCGGGAGATGTCGGGGAACCGCTGCAGGAACTGCTGTAGGGGCACAACACCCCCACGATGGAAGCTGTCCTGCAGGAAGTGCTTGGCCGAGAAACGGGTAGCCACCTTCTGCCGGTGCTCCTGGGACTGCCGCCGCCAGCGGTAGAAGGTGCTCTTGGTGATGCTGTAGGGATCACAGAGGTGCGAGTAGCTGAGGCCAGGCTCACGGTTCAGTAGCTCCAAAGTCTTGGCTGGAGGTGGCAGCCTGCCCAGGGCTGCAGGGGCCGGGCCTAGGCTTGCAGCATTTTCAGCTTCCACCTCCTCTAGCCCCACCACTGGAGCAAAGTACTGGTGGCGGAAGAGGTGGCTAGTGAGTGGCTGGCCCGCCCACATGATGTGCAGGGTGGAGGGCGTGTGGTCACAGCGTCGCGGCCGGATGACGCGATTAAAGTAGGGCCGGATCTTGAGGTTGCGCATTGGGTAGATGGAGTAGATGTTGTGTTGAAGGACAGAGGCAAGAGCGTACAAGTGCCACACGTTGGAGAAGCTACTAGGGAAGCAGGTGGCCTTGACGTCTGCGTCAAAGATGGCCTCCAGCGTGGCGGATGGCAGGCTCGTCATCTCGGGGGACTCCTCGGAGCACAGGGAGTAGCGCACGGCCTGCAGCATCACCTTGGAGTCGATCATGCCCTGGAGGTAGTAATGCCGGTGCAGCAGCATCTCCACCACGGTCCGGGCGCGCAGCTCCAGGCTGAGGCTCGCGTCGCCCCACAGCAGCATGCTGGCCGCCTCAAACAGCAGGCTGCCCTCACCCTTGCACATCAGCGGCAGCATGTTCCGGGGAGCATCCTCCGGGTACAGGCTCAGGGCCACTGAGTCCACCTCCAGTATCTGCGGGCTAAGGCCCCCCTCCCGGCTTTGAGGAAGGGTGAAAGACGACAAAACCCGCTTGGCTTCGATGGCGGTACCCACGAGCCCCTCCAGGCCCTCGGACTCCACTGCTTCCTGCAACTCCTGCAGTACCTGCTGCACCAGCTGGTCCCGGGAAGTCATCCTGCCAGGGCAAACGGTAGAGGGCAGAGGTCAGAACACAGGCACCCAGATGGTACTCAGAAATGGTGGCCCTGTCAACTCCTGCACCTTCTCGCTAGAGGTAATGTCTATCCTCTCCTATTCTGCATCGTCATTAGGAGAGAATAACTGATATCCTCCTTAGCTGTGGTTAGTCAGCCATGTTGATGTAGCATATGGCCTCTGGAGCCTAGTTTTGAATGCTGGCTCTGACATTAGCTTGGGAACCTTGGGCAAGTCCCTTAACCACTCTGTGACTGTCTTGCTCTTGAGACTGTTTGGGTTAAGTGAAGAACTCAAACCCATACCAAACTCACTGCCATCCAGTTGATTCCGACTCACAGCAACCCCCCTTGGGTTTCCAAGGCTGTAAATCTTTAGGGAAATAAGATTGTCCCATCTTCTTTCCACAAAGCAGCTGATGGGTTTAAACTGCTGACCTTCGGGTTACCAGCCAAATGCCTTATCTACTAGTTGCTTTCTTTCACAGAATACCATTTTTACTTGAAAGACAGACTGACAGACACTGGTCATTTAAACTTGGATGTTTGGTAGACATATTTTTGAAAAAGAGTGCAGTGAACCTGTCACTTCAAAGAAAACTACTGACAGTAGTTACTGCCCATGATACATTTTGAGGTTACCTTTGAGAATTATAACTTTGGAAAACCTGTATCCACTACAGGTAAACTTGACAGTTGCCCAATACTCAAAAGATTTTTCTGTTGAGATCAGTAGTGATATTAACAATGTAATTTTTCAATACTGTATAATGGATTTGTGAACATCTGGAAGAGGTGCATAATCAATGAACCAATATTTTCCATACAACAAAGCTTGAAGTTACAAAGTCATGCAGTTAAAAAGATCTAATCAAAGTACAAGCTAGACCCCTATCAGGGTTTCAGAGTCATTATTCCGTATCACAGTTAAGCTTTGAGATACGGAAACTACCACTACGAAGTTGGGGTTGTTGAGTTTGGGTGTAGTATCAAAGAACATCTGCTGAAAAACCTATTAAAATGTTCTTCCTGCACTGAGGTTATGTTAATGGTGGTGGGATGACTTGGAAAAGGATAACAGAATGGTCTCACAGCTTGAAGAATTGTACGGGTAGAAATTGTTGAGATGGCATGTTTGTCAGGTTTATTTTCACCACAGTAAAATTTAAAAAAGAAATTTGTGATTAGGTTGGATTTTCTTTGTAAATATCAACCAAAACAACATAGCGCAACAAATTAAATGTAGAAACAGAAATGAGAATCTACCTATCTTTTATTAAACCAGATATTAAAGAGATGGATAAAAATGTAAAAATAATGCATTCTTCTAAATTTTCTTCCTGGAAGATAGTTATTTTTCATTTAAAAAATGTTACTTGTTACTGTGTAACAGGGTTATTTTTAGATAATATATTTCAAATTTATGTTTCAGTTTCAAATACAGTATATATTGATAGCTACAATCTATATGAACAAAAACTCTTTGAACATACAGAGACCCTAAGATCACAAAGTTTTGAGAACCACTGTCCTAGGACAATTTTTCCAAGGAGCAGCAAACCTCCTTATTAGTCTAACTACTGTACAGCCGGCTGGCGGTTCAAACCCACCAGCCACTCCTCGGAAGGAAGGTTGGGCAATCCTACTTCCGTAGTGATACTGCCTCGGAAACCCAAGGAGGGGTCGCTATGAGTCAGGTTTGACTCGGCGGCACATAACGACAACAACAACTGTACAGACATTGATCTAATAGTTAAGATTTACTAAATGTTTACTGTTTTCCATGCCCAGTCCTAAAAGTTTTACTATTGATCTGATCTACCTGTTTTAAGGTAGGTATTCTCATTATCCCCAATTTACAGGTGAGGAATTCAAGGCAATTAAGGTGGAGCTAATTTGCCCAAGGTCACACAAGTGCGGAGCCTGAAGTGGAAACCAGATGCTCTCCACAGCCGGTGATTCGCCTCAGCCAGATCAGCCAGCCACCTTTTCAACACAAACTAAACAGCCTAATTACTGGTACATTTTCAGCGTTGAATTGCAAAGCAGAGAAGATGGGCGATACTTTTAAATGAGAAAGGAGACCATTATCCTTTTTGGTTCCTCAGATCTTTGTTCTCTAGATTAGCCTTAGGTTTCAGAAATGTGTTTTGGTGTATACATTGTCAACTCATCCAACCATACACTTACAAGGGATGTGTTTACTGAATGTAAATTGTGATTCAGCAAAGTTAAAAATACTTTCAAAAGCACTGAAGGAACACCTCCAGCACTTTACATGTTAATCTTAAAAAGAAAGCTTTTTAAAAATGAGTAATTAGGATCACCTTCAGAAAAAATTGCTAAACTATAATTTTTTAAAATTTTGCATATTGTAACAAATCTTAACAAATTTCCATTTTTACATGTTATTTGGACCTGGTATTGGGTTTTCAGTCTGTTAATCTTTTGTTCACTTTATATTTACTTTTTGAAAAACTATTTATCTCCTTTGGACTCAGGAGATAAACTTCATATCAGTCCTTAGGTAAAGCAAGCACTTTTCTTATGTAATAAAATCTGAACCCTGAAGAACAAACTGTGTGCACATACCATTTTCATTCTGATAATCATCCTAACAGATAACGAGGGATGTTTTATTTTGCTTTGCTTTGCTTGCCCAATGTCACTTGTTGAATAGCTGCAGATAGATGAGTATTCCGCTGGATCCCTTGCAAACAAAATTATGAAAATAACCACCGTTTACTCCGTATGTGCACTTAACTCAGATAATCCCACTAAAATCTCAGAAGAGTAAGAGGGGAGAATGTAAACTGTGCGGGTGATTCTTCCTGCCCTTCCCTGCAAGCAGAGCATGGCGCTGATTGAGCGTTTTCCAGGGCTTCACACGGGGTGAGCATTTGAATTTCAGGGGTGATTTTGTTTGCATACAGTTCTCACCTTTGCTCCACTTGAATTAAACTTCATTACACCACCACCACAGGAAGGATAGCTATTCCCAATTCGTACCTGGGGAGATGGAGGCTCGAGGCGTTAAATTACGTATCTCCCAAGACCACACAGCTATGAAATTAAAGGATAAAGCCTAAGTAGCCTGCCTCAAGAGCTCCCTTCTTAAACTCTAATTCTCCCACCCAGTGGAACATATTACCCGAAGTTCTCATCATTCAAAGGATCCAAAACCCCTAGATTCTTGAAGCTTCCAGAACCCTGACCATTTGCAGATAAGTAAATTGAGGTCCAGAAAGGTAAAGTTGACTTGCCTGAATCCATGCAGCAGTGACAGCAGAATCCAGACACCTTCCAGACAACGTCCAGATTTACCACACTTCCTCGCCTCCTGTACAACCCCACCCCTGCCGGACAAATCCCGTCCCGCCCTACTTACTCTAACCAGTCCCACCCCACTCCACCCTATCCCATTCCTTCCTCTTCCCCAAAAAGGTAAAAGGTGTGGTAGGTAACACCCCAGTTCTGATCTCTCCAAATAGAGGGGCAAAAGAGCCCCTGCTGAAGCTGTATGCCCCCACCCTGGACGTGCAGAGTGCACTGGGCCACCAGAGAGCAGAGGCCCGCCAGGGAAGAGCAGGGGCCGCAGGGAGACACCAGTCGTCCTTAAGTAGAAAATTGGTAATGGGGTTCAGGTGCAACAGTCCTTTTGGCACTGGCTGCCATCCTGGAAGTGCAATGCAAAGCAGACGTGGCAGTCGCCAGGTGCGTTCAGGGAATGAGGCATGGAAGGTGGAAACTAATCTATGGGCTCTGCCCAGCTGACCTCTCCGGCCCCAGTTCTTGGAAGGGATCTTTAAAGGCATGAAACCAAGGAAACAAAGCCTTCTCGGACTAGGGATACCTGGCTTCACCACTCAGGAATGGGTGCTTCAGGCTGGAGAAGGAAGGGTACAGACAACATCCGGAGGGCAGCCAGAAAGCTTAACTCCTAGGAAGGGCTCTGGAGCCCAGCAATGAATGAATGGACACAGACAACTCTGCAGCCCTCCCTCCCTGCACTCCTCGTTTCAAGCAGGTGAGCCCAGGTCTGGCCTATCTTCTGCTGATTTGATGCTGGTAAGTCTTGAGACCATACCTTTGGCCTCTAGAACAAATTCCTTTCCTACCAGCCTCATCCTGGGTTCTGTGTAGGTCTCCAGGGATCTGTCGTACTGTTCGGTCCTCCTTTTCCCCCAGTCCTTCCCAAAGTGGTCCCTGAAGTCTCCACAGTCAACCAGGCCCAAGAACCATGAGGACCACATAGGCCTCCGTCCTTAATAAGCCCGTGGGGACAGCTGGCATCTCACCCAGTCGGACTCCACATCCCTAGTCATGCCTCGCTGCCTGAACAGGCTGCACTCCACCAACCCATGGAAGCGCCAGCCATCTTGGCTCTTGGCTCCCTCCCCAGTGGCCTGGAGGCCTAGCAGGGCACAGCCAGCCACTGGGGCTGTGTTGGTCAGTTTCAATTTCCCAAGAACCTTCCTATTGCCAAGGGTAGTGGGAGCACCAGGGGCGCCAGGGTAGGCGTGAGGCTGCCAAGTCAACCATGCTGTCCAACTGGTGACGTTCAGTTGCTGTACTGGACCACGTGTCCAGAGGGGCAGGAGAAGGGGCAGTGCAGCCCACGGGGGAAGCAGCACAAGTCACCAGTTGTTCCTTGGGGTGCAGGAGGCAGTAGGGGGCTGGCCGAGAGAGGGATGGCTGGCTGGGAGCGGACAAGAATTGGAACCCAGCCCTAGAAGTTCCGGGACTCTGGGGAGGGGCGGAGGCCAGACCATTGTGTAGGGTGGGTAGGGAAGATAGGCAGGCGGATGGGGGTGGGGATGGGACTGGAGATGGGGGTGGGGAGAAAGAAAACTTGAAACAATGCCTCCCCTCTCAACACAGACACACACACACATGCATTCGACGCATCTTCTCAGGACTGCTTCTTGACCTGAGCCCTTTAGTGTCCCTGGGCTGCCCCTCACTTCCCTGGGGCTTCCA